TATGTTCCTAACTATTAAAGTGTAATTATTAAAATACAAATTGTTTGCACACTGCACCGCAAACTATGTAAAATAATATACTCCAAACTTGTTTAGATTCATAAAGGGTTAATTTTATACAGAACTTATTATTTCACTCGCTACTTTGTTCCTTCTATAATTATATTATGATAATTTGTTATATTCTTACTATAGCGGTTTATTTCGTTTTTTTAATTAATTATCAGTTATATTGTAGACTATACATTGGTCAAAATTTATTTGGATCAAATAATAATTTATTTGATTCAAATAATTTTATTAAAAAAAAAAAACGTATTTGGTTCAAACAATTTTATAGTAAAAAATTATTTGGTCGAATAATTTTATAGTAAAAAATTATTTGGTTTACGGAAAAAAATTTTATTTGTAACAATAAAAAGTTTCGCTAATGTAATTAAATTTGTGGGTATTCGCTTCATTTCCGTGTTCGAATATAATTTTTTTGAAGAAAATCAATTTGATTCAAATAACTATATACACAAAAATTTATTTGATTCAAATAATTTTTACTGAATTTGAATAAATTGTATTTGAAGCAAACACCGGACGAAAATAAAAATTATTCGACATAAATAAATATATTTTCTTTGATAATAGGCAAATATTCGTTTATTTAAATCAACTAAATTTTTTTTCCAGTGTAGAAAAGTAATAATATTATTCTTATTCTTATTATTATTTAATCATTTATTATAATAAAAAAAAATTAACCAATCTATTATTCGCTGGCGCTTATAGAGTATTTTGTTCCTAAAGAAGAAATTTGCCAAGCTTCAAATTTTCGAAATTAAAAATTCACTTCTTTAAAAGCGATAAAAATGAAATTTAAAAAATTCTTTTTCCATAAATGGTAAACTTTTCTTTGAGAATTTTGTGTGTATATGCGTGTATAAAACAATATGAATGATTCGACGCAGTTTCACGAAGAAAATATGTTCAGTTGAAAGTCCGACTTGATGATAAAACAATATATAAGAAAATATAATTATGTTGTTCGTTTTGTTATCAAGACGCATGCATGTAAACTAAGCGTTATATTAAACATTTTCATTTCAATGCATTCATAAAATAATGATAAAAAATAAATTTCTATTTTGACAAAACGATATAATGAGAAAAAGAATGCATAATTATCAGAACACAAGAAAATATAAGATTAAACATAAATCTAAATATAAATAATAAAAAAAAAATTATAAATCGTATTTTTAATATTTTTTTTCTCTCCTTGGAAAAATAAATATGCAAAAATTAGAAACTTTAGACAAAGTCTTAAAATTTAACAGGTAAAATTAATTTAAAGAAAAAACAAATACAATTTTTAAATATAATATAATTTTTCGAATCACAGATTATTTAAAATAAAAATTATTCTCATTTCCTGAATTGTTTCATGGAAAAATCAATTTATTTAATAATCACGAAGAAACGTGAGTTTTCTGATATATATGTAAAAAATGGTATTAAACAAATATTACGATGAGAAAGTAATAATTTAATTATTTTTCTTTATAAAAGAAAAAAAAATTATGTATCAATAATTAGGGCACTGAGATGTTGTAAAAAAAGAAAATAATTAATAATGCGGAAAAACAAAATTAATAAAAATTTAGTAAAGATTCCTGTTTTAAAAAGTTATTTTTATTTTGAAAATATTTGTGATATTTCGTTAAATAATTTTGATAAAAGTCTTAAATAGATTGAAAAAAATTTATCTGAATCAAATAACCGATTCGGGGTCGTTTACAAAATAACGTCACGCTATTTTGTGCTTTTTTCAAATAAGCTGTAAATTAGTTCTAAGTTAAACTGATGATTTTTGGAACTACAATAATGTTTGCAATATTTAAAGAAAATATTCAATTTATTAAATAAATTCTATTATATTATTGAATCAATTCTTTTCTATTATTTAATCAATTTTATTCCATTTTTAACTAATTCTATTCTATACTGATTATTCAATTATATTCTACTATTTAATCAATTCAATTATTATAATTATTTAAATTCTACTATTATTATAAAAATACAACTATAATTAAAATTTAAAAATTATTTGATAGAAATAAATATTTATACTTAAAATAATTTTCTATTAAAAACAAATAAATAATAAATTTTAATTATTTTAGTTTCAAACCAATATTTTTGCAACATTTAGAAAAAATACTATTAAATTAACAGAATTGAAAATTATTCGATAAAAATAAACATATAAACTTGATACAAATAATGTTTTATTCAAATCAAATAAATTTTGTGAATTCATCGTTTAATTGAAACTGCGATTTTTCTTAAAGCCATAATTAATTATAATATTTAGAAAACCGATCAAATATATTTCATACAAATAAATATATTTATACTTGGAGCAAACAATTTTTTATTCAAAATAAATAAACTGTGAATTAATTATTTTAATTTAAACTGATTTTTTGAAATTGAATTGTTGAATCAATTATTTATGCAATATTTGAAGTAAATACAATTGAATTAATTGAATTAAAAATTATTCGATACAAAAAATAGTTGTACTTAAATCAAATATTCTTTTAATTGAAACAAATAAACTTAATTTAATCTCGTTTTTTTCTTAAAAATGAAATTAAAGAAAAAAAAGGAAAAATAAAGATATTAATTAAAATAAATAAACACTAAAAAACAATTTACTTGAATCAAATAATTTATTGATAATTATCAAATATATATTTACTTTTGAGTCTAATAATTTATAATTACATGAATTAAATGGTAGGTATTTAGTTAAAATACTGAAATTATTGGTTCAATAAAAATTTTTTTTAATTAAATAAAAATTATTTGATTCGAGTAAATATTGATTTTATAATAGACAAGTAATCGATTGTTTGAATCAAATTAATTTTTTTCAGTGAAAAAATTAAAAACAAATTGAAAAATGTAAAATACAAAATAACACTTTCTAAACTTGAATTAGTAAAAATGTTTAGTAATTTTAATTAGTGTTGACTTTTTGTTCTTGAATTAGTAAATTTTACTAAGAAATGAATAGAAATTACTATTTATATTAGTGATTAACTTTTTGTTTTTAAATTAGTAAATTTTACTAAAAAATTAATAGAAATTACTATTTACTAGTGACTAAATTTTTGCTTTTGAATTAGTAAATTTTACTAAAAAATTAGTAGAAATTACTATTTATTAGCAAAATTTACTAATTGAGAAGCAAAAAATCAATCACTAATTAGAATTAGTAAATATTTTTACTAATTAAAATTTAGAGAGTATCTAGAAGATATAGAAATTTTCATTTTTAAAAAATTACTTTTGGACGAATTATTCTTTCGCTAGAAGACTTACATTAATTTACAAAGAAAAAAATTTAATTGTTTTCAATAACCGATTACTTGTTTATTATCAAATAAATATTTATTTTAATCAAATAAATTGTATTTAAATCAAATACAACTTATTTGAATCAAATTAATTGTATTTAAATCAATTATTTTATTATTGAATCAAATAAATTGTATTTGAAATCAATTATTCCATTATTTAAAGCAAATATCATTTAATTGATTCAATTAAAAATTATTTGATCCAAGTAAATATTTATTTGACAAGTAATAGTAATCGGTTATTTGATTCAAACAAATTTTTTTTCAGTGTTTCTATTATCAAATAAATAAGGAGTAAGTTTTCAAAACCTGATAAATCCAAATTTTGTCATTTCGAGAAATTTAAACAAATGACAATTCTCACATAACCATTAAAATTAATTTTAATATAGAAAAATTGTAATAAATTATTCATTTTTGAATATTTTTTCTATTTAAAACGCTCTGTTTGTAATTAAAGTCTATTGTAATAAGGAAATTTAAAGGTTTTGATAATTTTTTTCTAATAAAAAAATTAATATTAAAAATCATCAAGGTATGGCCAAAATATTTTTTAAATTGAAAATTCTTTGACAATAAATTTTTTTTCTTAAAAATATTGAACAGTGAAAAATTTATTTCTAAGGATTTTAATATTTTAGGTATGTGTTTATCTGAATTTTTTTGAAAAATGGATTTATCAACTTTTGAAAAATTGCTCATAAAATATTCACTTGAATCAAATAATTTTTATTCTAGTCAATTAAATGGTATTTGCTTCAAATACCATTTAATTGATTGAATCAAATAATTTTTATTTAAGTCAATTAAATGGAATTTGCTTCAAATACCAATTAATTGATTGAATCAAATAATTTTTATTTAAGTCAATTAAATGGAATTTGCTTCAAATACCAATTAATTGATTGAATCAAATAATTTTTATTTAAGTCAATTAAATTGTATTTGCTTCAAATACCATATAATTGACTTAAATAAAAATTGTTTGATTCCATTAAAAATTTAATTGATAATAGACAATATAATCGGTTATTTGAATCAAATACATTTTTTTAGTGAATAAAAAATTATTGAATCAATTCACTAATTTAATAAATTAATTGAAACAAATTAAATGAATATAATCTAACAAGTGAAACCAATTGAATAAAATTCCTGAAAAATGCAATAAATAAATTCGAGCCAATAAGTGCGCGTAAAAGTGCCGACGATGAATTTCATGAACGCTTATCATTAATAATCTCTTATAAACATTAAAAGTTCATGGCACTATAAAAAAAAACAGGGAAAATTATTTCAGTTACGCCAATAATTAATATGTAACAATTTGCGCAAATAAAATGTCGTGAAAGAATAAAGGAAACTATATAACATGCGGACAAGTGTCAAATAACATAACGTCGATCTGTCATCATCATAAAAATAAATATCAAAGACAGTTTATCGCACTATTGCAGGTTTGCACATCATTTTAATTAATGAAAAAAAAAACCCTTATTGTCGAGGCAAAAACTTTTTAATTCACCCCCACCACCATTTCTTTAACGGGGGGTCAGAGTGGAAGCTGCATGCAGTGTATGATAGTTCATGTGGCGGGAACACCGCACTTTTGAAAGTCAGAGACAGTCTCTCTCTCTCTATAGTGTTCTCGAGACTCGAGCTGAAAGCACCAAAGAGAGCTCAGTGTCCATCAACGATCCACCGAAATCGGTCACATTCTAAAATTTTATATTTATATTGATTTTTCCAATTTTTTTTTAATTACTCAAAATTTTTTTCGGTGGTTGAAAAACAAAAAAAAAATTCGAACGAAAAATACGCGCAAACGATCTCAATTTCGTAAATGATAAGTGCATCGAATTCGCGCGTATAAAAATTTAAGACGATTTGGAGAATTGAAAAAAAGTGAGTGCAACTGAGACAAGATGATTCGTCAATTAAAGACGAGGATGAGATTTATTTTTACTGTTTAAAACATCGTCATCGAATTTTAGTGGCTTCTTGTTTCTCTTTTTTTTCATAATTAAATTTATATATATATATATTGAGCAGTGTGAGAGAATTCTCTTAAGCACGTGGTTTCAAAATTTTTGGCGTGGATGCAAAAAATTTTCGCAATTTGGATCTGAATATTATTTCGTTCAACTTGTAATTTCAAGGCAAGTTTTATTTTATTTTTCACTTTTATATTTAAAAAAAAAACTGCGTCTGTTTGTGTGTGTGTAATAATGAGAGAATGTATTTTTGGAGGAAATTTTTCTTTTCAAAAATAGAATCAAAATTTCTTAATGAAAAGAATTTTTAGAAGAAACGAAAGGAAAACAAAGTTTTTAAAGAAAAGGAAATTCTTTATGAAGAAAGATTACATTAATTAATAATTAACTCTATTTTTATTAAATTAATTTTTAGTAATTAAATTAACTTTAGTAATTCAGTTCATTTTAATAATTTCATTAATTTTAATTTAATATTCACTTAATTTTTTTTTATTTGATTTTATTTTATTTTTAATATAAAACTTTTCTTATAAAAAGATTTATTTAATTCCAATAAATAATTTTCTATTATTAAACAAATATTTATTTGGATCAAGTAATATGGTATTTCCCTAAAGTACCGAAACTATTGGTTCAAATAAAATTTATTTGCTTCAAATACTGAAATTATTGGTTCAATAAAAATTAAAAATTTATTTGAATTGAACAAAAAATTATTTTAATTCGATAAAATTATTTGGTTCAAGTAAATATCAGTTTGCTAGCCAAATAATCGGTTATTTAAATCGAAAAAACGTTTTTTCGAATTGTAGAAATAAGTACTTTACGAAAATTTCGAACGTTCAAATAAACGAAACGATTTTTTATTTATTTATTTATTTATTTATTTAATAAACGAAAAAAAAATTTTCTGTTTAGATATTTTCAAAAATTACTTCACTGAATTGAAAAATAACATAAAATGAACATTAACTTCGTTAAAACTTAATTGTTTTAAACATAAAAAAAATATTTTTACATGTAAGAAAAAAATAATTTTTAATCATAAAATATGAATTAAAATTAGTAACAAAAATTGCGATGTTCATTTAAACGTTCACTTTAGGAAAATAAAAAAATTTTATAGAAAAAGTAGTTTAAATGGAAAATATTCCATGACAGTATGGTAAAATTAACAAGTTCTAAAGTCTAAATATATAGTTAATTTTATCAATTTTGAAATTTAAAACTAATAAATTTTTTTAATAAAGTATCTTAAATTAACTAATCCCTATATTTAATTTTTAATTAATTTAAATAATAATGTGATTAATTATTCCATTTTGCAGATGAGAAATTAATTATTGTTTACCTTTGTCATTATTTATAATTAACATTAATTAGCAATTAACTTAATTATTTCACCAATTAAATAATTATTTTGTTTAACATTGATCAACAGAATTTAATATTTACTAAAAACTTGTCACAAAAATGAAATTAGAAACCAATTTTCCACTTTTTGATATTTTTGCTAATTTTCTATTTCGAAAAATTTGATATCTGACCTAATTAGTGAACTAATTAACTTCAACTAATTAATCAAGTATTATTAAGTTATTTAAGATGCATCTGCATGGAAAAATTTGTTCGCAATCGAAAATTAATTTACATTTAAGAAAAAAATTTAATTTACTTCATTTCAAAAAAAGAAGTTAATTTACATTTAAAGAAACAGTTCCCACGTTTTTTGCTTCAAGAGAAAGAAAAAATTGTTCTGAAAAACAAAAAAAAGTACATATGCACTTCAAAATCTTAAAATACTCGTAGTTCAATTTAAATATTTATTTTTCACAAGAAATGACGGAATTCTTGATTTTTCTGTGGCAAAGTGGATTCTTATAATGAAATTTGTAGCATTTGTTTCAACACGTACGCGATTGTTAATTATCTAAGTATTAGAAATTGAGACACCAAACGCGATTAATTGTATAATTAATATTAGTGCAGTATTATTGAAAGAATTGGTAGCTAATTAGTCATGGTTTTGATTAGTCAACAATGATTATGATAATAATTGTTATGAAAAAAAAATTTACTGATTTATTTAGAAAAGTCTGCGGTAAATGAAATAGTATTTTTACGAAAAAATTAATAATAATTAATAAAGTTAGATAAATTAAATAATATTCTTAGTCCAAAATTATTAAAGTGCGCAAAATTAAAAAGTTTCCTTACAGAAATTAGTACGAATTACTAAGTTAAATAATGTCCATATACTAAAATTAGTAAAGTTTGCTAAATTAAAAGATATGCTTACTGAAATTAGTAAAAAGTACTAAGTTTAGTAGTATCCTTACGAAAATTATTAAAATTTTTTTGAATTTAACTTTTTTCTTTCCTTACTGAAATTAGTAAAATTTGGGGAAATTAAAAAGTATCTTTATTGAAATTAGTAAATTTTACTAATTTAAAAACTAGTAAAGTTAACTAATTTAAAAACTAGCAAATTTTACTAATTTAAAAATTACAGGCGGTTGCCACGCAACCTGGAAAACCTGAAAATGTAAGAGAATTTTATAAACCTTGAAAAAAACCTGGAAAAGTCAGGAAATTTTATGATCGGAATCCTGGAAAATTATTGTTTTCTAATTGTGCTTATTCTTGAAATCTAATTTAACTTAAATATTTCAATATTAATTCAATTTTAAATTTTTTAACAATTCAATTTTTTTTCAAAATAATTTTAATAGAATTCTACGTAGAAATTTAATTAATTTCAATAATTTATCAAAATTCAATTGGTCAAAAGTTTAAAAAAAATTCTCATCAAAATTTCAATTATCTCTATAAATAATAAAAATCAATTATTTTCAAAAATTTTAATAAAATTCTTGGCAAAATTCCAATATTATTTTCAAAAACTTTTTTCAATTCAATCAAATTTTTTACAGAGATTCAATTATTTTTAATACAGTTTTAAAGCAATTTCTCGAAAAATGTAATTATTCTTAAAATTTTTTATTAAAACTCATTAAAGAAATTCAATTTCTTGAAAGAATTAAATTATTTTCAAAAATTTTAATGAAATTCTTTTTTAACAATTCAATTTTTTTTCAAAATAATTTTAATAAAATTCTACGTAGAAATTTAATTAATTTCAATAATTTATCAAAATTCAATTATTTTCAATAAAATTCCACAAAATAATTCAACTGCTTAAAAATAAATTTCAATAAAATTCATTTCAAGAATTCAATTATTTAAAAAAAAAATTCTTCGCAGTAATTCAATTATGGTCAAAAATTTTTAAAAATTCTCTTTAAAATTTCAATTATCTTTATAAATAATAAAATTCTTTTCTAAAATTCAATTATTATCAAAAATTTTAATAAAATTCTTGTCAAAATTTCAATTATTTCCAAAAACTTTTCTCAATTTAATCAAATTTTTTACAGGGATTCAATTATTTTTAATACAATTTTTAATTTAATTTCTCGAAAATTAAAATTATTTGTCAAAAGATTTTTAATTACCTATTTAAATATTTGTTGATAAAATTCTTTATGATTATTCAATTGTAAAAAACATTCAATTCTTCAATAAATTATTTATTTTTGTATTTAAATAATTGAATTCTCGTAAAATTTCCTAATAAAAATTGATTTAAATATGAATTTCAGTTAAAATTTTAGATAATAATTCTAATATTGAATATTAAACTCTAAATTTGAATTAGTAAAAATGTTTTCTACTTTGAATTAGTGACAGACTTTTTGCTTTTGAATTAGCAGATTTTACTAATAGTCGTTTCTACTAATTTAATAGTAAAATTTACTAATTCAAAAGCAAAAATTCAGTCACTAATTCTAAGTATAGCAAACATTTTTACTAATTCAAATTTAGAGAGAAACTGAGAAAGTATTATAGTTGAATTTTTAGAAATAATTGAATTTTGAAAAGGTTTCAAATTATAATCTTTGAATTTTTAAATTTTTCATACTTTTAACTGAAAATTATTCAGTTTTAATTTTTTTTTAAAAACTTTAATTGAATTTTGTTTAAGTTATTTGATATACTTTTATTGTCTAATATATATTTGATTAAAGAATTTCCGAATAATCGATGAGTCGAAGACTCGGAGTGATCGATTTCTTCATGTTTTATAACAATTTTTTTTAAAGATATTTAATTTCAAAAAGGTTTAAATTTAAAATTTTTGAAAATCTTAATTCTTATGGAAAAATTATTATGTGACTAATTATTTAATTTTGTAAAATATAAATGTAGTTTTAAAAACCTGGAAAAATAAAAAAATTAATAAAATTAATAAAAAATATTAAATGAAATAGTAAAGTTTACTACCTATAACATTATTGATATCCTTATGCAAATTATTGAAATTTTATTAATTTAAAGTGCATTCTTTCTGAAGTTAGTGAAGTTAGTTAGTGAAATTAGTAACTTTTACTAAATAATTTGTAATTATAAGAATTATTCAAAATTTTCAAATTATACAAAAATCAATTAAAATTTTAACTCATTTGAATCAGTAACTGACATTTTGCTTTCAAATCAGTTAAAATTTACTGATTCAGGAGTAAAAATATTTCAACTAATTTTCAAATTTTTGCAAAATCAGTAAATTTCAACTAATTCAAAAACAAAAATTAATTCACAGATTTATTAAAATTTTAACTGATTCAGATTTAGAGAGTGATAGAAAAGCAAGTAAATAGAATATATGGTAATATTAATAATTATCACTACAATAAATGCTGACAGTACGAATTATTATTATTCTAATACATGACAATAATAACAATAATTATTAATATAAATGACAATAATAATTATTATTATCACTACTAATAAAGAGAGAATATAAATTTTCGCAAGATGTGCTTAGAAACGAATTTATAAATGCTTATAATCAAATTTAATGAGAAGTTTAGAGCGATATTGAATATAAAGTAAATTGCGATTATTTGTGGTATCAAAGTTTAGAAAAAAAAGTTATATCGCAACCGGTTCTAGGTTATCAAATATAGTGACTGATCCAGTTGTATATAATATGTAAAGAAGGAAAGGAAATGATATAAAAATGAATTATTTCAATACACACATGATTTTGCGCGATTATTTAAGAAAATGTATTTAAATTGAGTAAACTTGTTCTTAAA